AGAGCCTCAAGAGCTTCACGGTTCGAAGTTTGCCGGGTCAAGCCATTTTTCCTGATGGCAAGTCTCCACAGCAAAAACCAAATGGCCGTGGGAGGAGGCCCGCAAAGAGTCCCGGTCAGCTTACGTAATTGTTGAGATGTACATGACAAAGTGGCGAGCATGGCCGACGGTTGTGCTTGAACAACCTGCTGCCAGCAAGCAGGCATTCCGTAGTTTGGTCATGTTTACTGTTGCCATGCTAACAGGCCTACCGTAGGATTATGCCTGGTAAAGCGAGGTCTATGCAAGGCTCGTTGTTTGTCGAAGGTCTCTGTGCCGAAACGCGAAACCCCCCAAAAACCTTTGCAGCAGGAGGCCTCCGGTGGCTTGGGCAAGTTGCGCGGGAACTCCTACCAGGCTGTCCGAATATACTTTAGAGACACCTGGTGCAAGGCTTTGAGTTCAGACAAGCAGATGCATGGTGTGATTCGTTTCTCATGCTCAAAAGAGAAGAACGCACTGCTGCTATGTAACGCGACAAACATGGCGTTTGTCATCTGCAGAAGATTAACAGTGACACGCCAATGTGGCGTTCGCTTCTTGTACTTATGTGTTGCAGGCATCTCGACTCCTGCGAATATCACATGTAAAACGCAGAATGTTGAACATTGGGTCATTGGGTCGCGAATCATGTGCGTCCATTGGACAGTTCGCCATGCGGCAGCCAGGAAGTGCGGTAAAAGAAGGTTGAAATGTCCAAGAGTGAGGCAATGTGCCCGCCAAAAGTGGCGTGTTTTGATCGGTTGTTTTGCAGGCGCTTGCTTGCTGCCGCTTGCAGCAGCAGGATTCCTTGCATTCACTATGCCAGCTGTCTTCGCTTCTTTGGCACTGTTGTTCATTTGTGCCACGGGCCTTTGGGTGGCCTTGACAGAAGAGCCAACTCATGGGCCCTGTCAAGCTGTCGCTTCAGCTGGAGACGGCATAGAGGTGTGGGTACGACATCCATTCACGCTGCGCATTTGTGTTTTGAAGATGCTTCCCTCCGAGCCACTGCACGCTGCAACTGCCAAGCTGTTCGGCAATGCCCTGCCTGAACGCAGCCAGATGATTCTTGATGGCCGGATTATTCCAGCAAGCACCGAAGTACGCCAATTGAGCTCAAGCTGTGTTGTCCGTTTCTGTGTAACCCCTCTTGTCGGAGGAGCGAAGCTAATGCAACTTGATACCTTGGAAAGTGCACAACAGTGGGTGGAAGACAACAAAGAGTTCTTGAAGGTTCATGTTGCAAGCCAATACGATGCCATGCGTGCTTTGCTGGACTTGCGTGCAAAGCCCCCGCAGCGAGGCGACATTAATGAATGGCGCAAGCTAGCAACTCGGTGGCAAGTTGGCCGGAAGCCGTTGGAGAATATGAAAGCAGAGATAGAGATGAAATTTCTCTGCGCCGCGCGCAGTGCATTGCAGGAGTTCATACAGACACACGCCGACCGCAGCCCTTTGCACGTGGGTGTACTCGGGAGTCTTAACAGCATCTGTGAAGCTGACGGTTCTGGCTCTAGTGCCTTGCTGGTCTTGCCAGGAGCATCGTTCGATAAAAAGGTCTTGGTGCCAAGGTCCTGCATAGCCGGTCTTTTATCGAATGGAGCTGTGGAAGAGGTTGCTGTTGCGACTTTTGCATGGACGACAGCCCTGTCGGTGTCTGATCAGATTGAAGCATTGCTGACCAACCTGCCGGAAGGAAGGCAGAGATCAGTTTTGAGCTCACGCTTGATGGGGACGTGCAAGTCTGAGGCCAGAACAACATCCTCGTTCTCAGAGCCGGCTGGCATGCAAGGGACCGTCCACAGCAGAAACGATGTCCCGAACATAGACGTGCAGAACCGAAGCGAGGGTGCGAGAGAAAACGTACTAGCAACATCAAAGAAACGTAAAACAGTCACGGGACGACCAGAGCCAAGTGTCAGCACTCGTGCAGCTTTCGACGACAGAAGCGCTGGTTCCAACATGGACAAGCGGAAAATCTGCGGAGATGAAACAGAGAGCGTCGTGCCAAGCTTGAAACGGCCCAAGTCAATTTTCGATCGCCTACAGGAGGCTGCCCGCAATCAAGCTGAAGAAGAGCCTGGCACCTATGCATTGGTGCCCGACAGCTTCGGGCATGGCCCGCCAGATGGACGTCGCGTAGCTTTCTGGTGGACAAGAAGCATGCATGTGCTGCAAGAGAAGTTAAAAGCTTTTCGTGAAAAGTTTCCGGACGCGTGCCTCCTGTCCCAATGGCAGAAGCTGCAAAAGCATTTATCGTTATGCGGTAATAGTGGCTCGTTGAGAAGCATGTTGTCTGACTCGGCTTGGCGTGCGCGTGCTGTGGGCAGTGATCGTGTTCGACTAAAGCTTGCCGAAGTAGGTTGGCGACAATTCAGACTGCCATCTGAATTTTTGCATTACCAGCTGAGTAAGCATGTCTTTGATGAAGTCACCGAGTTGTTGGCACGCGACGAGAGAGAAGCACTTGTTGCGCCTAAATCCGAGTCCGATGGCACTCGGTCCTGTCCATGCAACTTGGCAACATTCATAGCACAGTGTCAAGACCGGTCTCTGCAGGACATCTATCCTTTTGTGTTGACGTTGCCGGACAGTCCCTGTTGTCAACCGCGACCAAGTCATTTTGTCCGCCAACTAGCTTTGTTGGAGTTGAACACGAAAGAATATTGCGATTTGCCGTTTGAGTTTACAGCCCTGCAAGTATTAATCAGTGAGAGCCGCAAGCAACGCCGCTCGTGCTGTTCGCCTGACAGCTTGCGGGAGGCTGCGTGCCAAACTTTGCTTGCGTATGTGGCCTCTGAAAGCAACATGCGTGCAAATCTTGTGTTTCTGCAGCTGCATGACTTAGAGCCAGATGAGCAAGCTCGTGAAATACAAGGCATGGTATCCGCAGCTCTATCATGTTTTGCTAAGCATGGCGTTGACTTAACGTGTCGCGATGAGTTGTCTGTAGCTAGTTTATGCGTCATGCACCATTTTCTGCACAAGCGTGTTGCGAAGCGAATGAGAACCAAATGGTCGACGACGCTTTTTCCGACAGAGGACTTCGTTCCGGTCAACACTGCTCTATGGCGACCGGAGCTGGCAATGCACTGCGATGTACCATGCAGCTTCGGTTCTGACGACACTGGTTTTTCAAAGCCCGAGCACGAAGATCAGTTGCGACCACGCGCTTTTGCGACACCGCCTGTTCTGTGCCAACTGTGTCATTGTGGATTCTTGGGCATGGATGCCCTCAAAAAGCACACCTCCTTGCATGGAGGCTGGGCCGAGTACAGAAAACAAGTGATCTTCAGACTTCAGAATGCACCCTTGCAGCCGTTGAAGGCGTGGCAGAAACGTGCCATGGTTGCATCGTTCAGCTTCTTTGAAACGCATTCTGTGCCGCAAAGTCCGAACGATTGGATGCAGAGAACTTTTGCAGAGGCAGTTCCTCGACGAGAAGAAGCTTGCGTGATTTGTGCCAGATTGGATTACATCGAGAATCGTTTTGAAGCTTTCTTGTTTGCTGAGCCAGATGGCACCTCAAATATGCAGCGCGTGTATGGAGCCGCTGGGGACAATGATTCCACAGACAACGATTCCGATCGCTCCGCATCGGATGAAGAAACACGTGAGTCCATGAAGCCAGGGCCGTTGTTTACAAGACAGGGCAAGTTTTGCTTTGGGCCTGCAGAGGACGTGCACAAAATCCTCGACGTTGAGCGATATGTCCAGCTTCGACCGAGAATTCCCCCTGCAGAACTTCATGGGAGCTCAGTCCAGCATCCTGATGATCGCACAAAAAGATGGTTGCTGCATACCAGACGTGTTGCCACACGTCCAGTCTCAGAAGCTGCTGAGCTGACAACAGAGAAACAGCCGCCTTGTGCTGGAGTATGACAAAAAAACGAAACCTCTTGGTTGTGCCGTGAATGCTTATTTCGTTTGTGTAGCACAAAAGGGGCAACCATGCCGCCCCTTGCCCTAGCCAATCTGAATTTTCTTGGACGTGAACATCCGTCCTTCCAAAACCTGTCGTTGGCCACGAAGCGTTTGTTGGGAAAGGGCCGCTTGTGCTTGAAGCAGTTGTTTCTCGGTCAAGGTGAGTCCGCAGAAGTTGAGAAAGGTTTGCAAGGTAACACCATCATGATTTCCCAGCCGCAGATGACCCCTGAGCAGATCTTGCCCTCGTTGACAAATTTGCTTGACTCCTTGTCTGTGATCTATTGCAATTCTGCGGACGAAGTCAAGGCTTGCAAAGCCTTGCACGTGTCACGCCTGGAGTATCTGCAGTGTCTGCACTATCGTAAACGCGTTTGTGAAGCCTTTGCTGATGTGACTGTGGACGACGAGTGCTTGGACTTGCCGCTTGATGGAGTGCCTGATGCACTTCTTCAATCTGCGATGTCATTGCCTGAAGCACAGAGCATGTCATGCACAATGCAAGGCCCGGCTTCCCGAGCAGTGTACACCAGTGCAGATGCGGCAGCGTCCCATGAGGTGGCAAGCGAAGATTCTTGATCGGAAGCTTCTGGCCCTGACGCAGCCCAATCAGATGCCAAGGAGCAAGAAGGTGCCAAAGCTCCGCAAGCGGTGATCGGCTTAGATTATTTGCAAGATGCAAAGCCGGCAAGGCTGTTCGAGGCAATGCAGGCAAAATTAAAACTTTTGCAGCAGGAAGCATACCGACTGGTTCGGGCTTTAGACCAAAGAAGCGTGGACAGCCCAGATGTGGAAGCTGCTGCTGGCGAGGAGCGTAAGGCATGTTGTCGTTGATTTGCAGGAGACAGTCAGGCAGCTTCAAGAAAGCAAGCCCGCGCTTTTGGAAGCATCAGTCGTCGCTGAACCGTCCACGGCGGTGAAGATACCTGGTCAATCAGCGCTTTCTTGTTTCGACCCTTTGACATGGCCCTCTTGTTTTGTGGAATTCTTTTACGGAGACTGTGTGCCCAATCTGCCCGATCGTCCAAATCCGAATGTAACGTGCCAAGATCTCTTCAGTGCCTTGGTGCAAAGAGAAGAGCTGCAGTACAATTTAGAAACCGACACCGCACCGTACCGTGCTAAGCCCAGATCGAGGTTTGATACTCCCGAGTTTGTAGCATGTTTTGCCGACACTGTCAGGCGTCTGAAGACAATGCAAATGGTGTCTGCTGCGTTTCGGAGACCGGGATTCGAGCAGGATGTCAAATGCATATCTGAAGCCAAGACGGAAGATTTTCTTCAAGCTGCAAAAGCCACCGTGGCTCCTTCTGCAAGTTCTCTATTGCGCAGCAATGCCGTGCCAAAGTGCAGACAGCCCTGAGGCACCTCATGTTTCACACCACAACTGTGCCGCTAACAGACGGCTATCGGGCTCGGCTCAGGCACTTCGGACACGCGCTAAATGTTGCTTTCGGCCCTCTCACTACCTTCACTACTCACAATTACGCTGACACGCAGTCGCCTTTGATTGCGCAGCTTTCTGGGTGTGATCAGCAGTGTCGTGAAAGGGCGCTTGGTCAAATCTCCCACGGTTTCCTGACTTGTCCAGAGCCCTGTATGCCGACCTTGAAACAGATGCACATTAATGTGGCTTCTAGCCCACGAGCAACTGCAAAGTACTTTCTTTTGATGGAAGAGCTGACCTTCAGGCATCTGTATGGCATTGACAAGATTGTCCTAGGCTCCCATCGTGTCAGAGCTGCTTCAGGTTTTTTGGATAGGGACGATGACTGGGCATCGAGTGCTACTCCGGGTTTGAGTGGAATGGTTGTGGCCGCTTTCGAGCCGTTGGAAGCGCAAGGTCGCGGATTTCAGCATGGACATCGAAAGGTGCACGGCCGTCCTGCCGGCATCGTCCAACTGTGGAAATCGCTCATGCAAAACATGTTGTCTGCGGAGCACTGCGAAGATGAACTCCGGTCATCTGTGAAGTCCCACAACGAAAACTTGCTTCAAGCTGTCTCTTCCGTGCAGTACGAGAGTGCACTGCTTCCTGCGAAGCAATTCGGCATAAATCTCTCTCCGGAACCTTTCTCCCTTCCACAACAACAGCAAACCCGATTTGACGGTAAGCTGGAAAAAGATGGCAAGACATTGCGACCACGGATGGATGTGGTGCCGTCAGAGCCTTCCATGGAGGCAACACAGTTGCGGTGAGTCGAATTCGCATGCCGACATGAAAGACACAGATTCCTGGAATACGTTTCGTAGTGGACAAACTGGGCACCTGCAGCATCTGCTTGTAGTACTCCCGTGAACAAGGCTGGTCAACGGTGTCAACTGCTTGGCAATAAAAGAGCAGTTCTTGTAGAGCCGCGGCGGACGTGCGGGCGCTCAGGAAACTAGCCATGGTTACGATTGACCATAGATAGGAGCTGTGATAAAAATCTTTAGCGGCGTTCAGTCTCGGATCATCAGGACCAGCGATTTTGGTACTCAGCAGAGCCTGCCACTCACTCTGGAGCAGCTTTGCGCCGCCTGGCACCCTCATTTTGCGCAGGATTTCTCGCAGCACAGCATCATCAAAGCGCATGGTTGTAGCCATTGAAAACGCGTCCCACAAGTCGGCGAACATGCCCACACCGGCCTGGTGCTCAAGCGAGGTTCCGTCTAACCCTGCTAGGAGTGACGAGGATTTCGGCACGGGCGGGAGCTGGAGGTGATCACCTGCTAGGAGCAGGACAGCTACCTTGCCGAAAAGGTTTTCGGTCTTTGCGTAATCGCCAAGTAGCAACTGGCAGGTATCCATTCTTGCATAAGTCGCTCGCAGCGACACTGCGTGAAACAAGATGCTTTGCATTTGACTCCATTCGTCTATAAACAGAGCCCCAGCCCGTCCGATAGCAGCATCAACTTTCTTGCGCTGCGCGTGCGACGAAAACTTGATTGCAAATGTTTTCAGAGAGTCCGAGACAGAAAAGCTACCAAGATTGTGCAAGGTCTTTCCTCCAATTAGTCTTGCTGCCTTGTTGCTTGGGGCTGCGAGCACGCAGCCACCGTCTTCTGGAAAAAAAGTTTCCATGAGTGGCTTCAAAACCTTCAAGATCATGGTGGTCTTGCCACAACCTCCGCCGCCACAGAGAAGGGCCCGAACCAAGGGCTTATCTATGGGAAGACTGATGGAATCAGGATCCGGTCTGGCGCGCCAGGCTTCTTCCAAAGGCCACACAAGAGTGGCTAAGATGTCAACTTGTTCGTCGTTGAAAGGAAATGGGGTCATGAGGAGCTTGGCTACGTGGGCAGGTCCCCTCCAAGCGTCCGGCATTGGCAGGACCGTGGCAGCGAGACGTTCACGATGGTCATTTCTGTCCAGCAATGCGGACAACTCCGCAACCGCTACATCTGCAGGCAAGTTCGCCGCAATTGTTTCGTGGGATGTGTCGTGTCGGTCAATATCTTTGCGAAGCAGCTTGGCCATTGCATTTTGGTACAAAGACAAACGGCCGACGTCAGAGTGCAGGCTGAGGCTATAGTGCGATGATTCCCGACACGGGACTTGCGACTGTGGCGTTTGCAGGCTGTCTCCAAAGACTGCTGCAAATTGCTTCATCTGCATGTCGCTTTCGCGATGGCGGCCTTTGCGAGAGCATCGCTCGATTTCCTCTGAACGGGCAAGAATGCTCTTGCATTGTTCCAAGGAAAATTGCACGTGTGGACTTTCCGGGACGGCAGCCTGATACAGATCATCCATATCTTCAAAATCAGACTCCAGCTCACCAACAACGACATCGCCTTGAGCTTTGGTTTCTCTGGTCACGTCCAGCTGATCACTGTCATCTTCCTCTCGGACATTAGCATGCTCAGGGGGTGCGTTCTTCAAGGGTTTTGACTTCGCCAAACTTTGCAGGTTGAAATTGCGGCTGACTTCATCTGCTTCTAAAGCAACAAACTCTTCAATGTGCAGCTGTGCAGGATGACAACCACACGGAATTCCAAGGTACTCGCACAAGCAAGAGAGAATGTGACCTGTGATTCTTCCATGCTTCGTGACAAGAAGCTGATTTGCAGTGGCCCACAGCAAGAAAAAACGCGTCTTGGAGTTTGGCAACTCCGGCAGTTCATTGCTTGTTTCCGCTGGCCACCAGCTGCGGCACAGGCTCGTGTCCTTTACGACTGGAATTTTGCACAGAGCGGGCAGTTTTGCGGTTGCCCGTGCCAGTTCCACGCGGATATGCGCACACTGCGCGTGCCAATTCGGAGCAAAGCGTGCTTTTCTGTTTGATCGTGAGAGCGTGCCAGCAAAATTCAATGGATTGGTGCAATCTGTGGAACCTGGGCAATGAACAGGTGTGAAGAGCATACGCTTAAACCGGGCATGTTCTTCCACGTGGTCCACGGGAGGACAGTCTCCGCCAACCAGTCGAGGAACAACCATTTGATCTCGAATTTCTTGACAATACAGCTTTGCGAGAGGATAATGGGCCTCATAAAAAAAGAGGTGCTTTGCAACCGGTCTAGTTGTGCTCGTCCGAGGTTTCCGCACTCGTTTTACACGTGCTGCGTACGTGTAGAAGTCAAGCGCTCGTAGAAAAGATCCGCGATGCAAGTAGTCATCATGCAGGCTGGTGGTTCTGCGCAACAAGCGACTGTCATACTTGGCCAAGTCCTTCTGGTTAGAAGTGTCGTCTTCAGCAGCAGTGGATTCAGAGTCAGTTGCAGGAACAGTGCCCGGCTCTTGCGCTTGTCCTGCTGGCTCAGCACTCGTGAATTCCAAAAACTCCAAGGACACAGTCGCTGGCTCGAGCAAATTATTTTCTCCTCGGAATATGAGCAATCGCTGGCACTGCTGCATGATGAACGTCGGTCGGGTAGTGAAGAGTGGGACATCAGCATGTGTGGACCAGAAATGAGCGCCTGTCATGAGAGCGGTGGCAAGCTCAGTGGATGAGACCCAGGAACACCTGTTCGCTGCTGCG